GGGGAGGGGCTCAAGTGGCAGAGCTGGTTGCTTTAACCCGAGCATTACAGCACAGCAAAGGGAGACGCGTCAATATCTACACGGACAGTCGTTATGCCTTCGGTACGGTTCATGACTTCGGCCCGGTTTGGAGACGCAGGGGATTTCTAACCACGGCTGGTCTCCCCATCTCTCATCAGCACCAGGTAAAAGAATTGATGGCTGCATGTGATCTCCCTGCAGCAGGAGCTGTTATCAAAATCACGGGACACTCCACTGACAGTTCTCCAGAGGCCAAAGGGAATCAAGCGGCTGATACTGCTGCCAGAGAGGCTGCAAAATTGACTGAGACATGCGTGAGTGTGCTGGCTTTTGCTCCCCAGGAGAGTGAACCCTCTAGAGACATTTTTGAACTTTATTCAGAGGATGACCCTGAAGAGATAGAGCAATGGACAAAATTAGGTGCAAAGAAAAATACAGAAGGATTATGGAAATTCAATGACCGTTTTGTTTGTCCTGTTTCTGCTCGAACTGAACTAATGTCTCTGTATCATGGTTTGGCACATGCTGGTCCTGAGAATTTACATGCAATGATTTCAAAAACCTGGTGGTGGCCAAAGCTGAGAGCTTCTTGCAATGACTTTTGTAAAAGATGCTTAGTATGTCTTAAAGTGAATTCCCCAGCAAAGCTAAAGATTCCTTTAGGACATGCCCCTCGACCTCAGGGGCCATGGACCCACCTTCAAATTGATTTCATAGGTCCCCTGCCCCCTAGTGGAGGCTTTTCATACATTCTGATGATTGTTGATTTGTTTTCCAGATGGGTGGAGGCGTTTCCTCTGAAAAACTGCACCGCAGACGCAACTGCAAAAATTCTGTTGAATGAAGTTTTCCCCAGATGGGGTTTACCATTGCACATTGACTCAGATCAGGGCACACACTTCACGGGGAAGGTAATGAAGAATGTGATGAAATTGATGGGAGTGAAACAACACTTCCACATACCGTTTCGTCCTCAGTCTAGTGGTTCTGTCGAGCGTTCTAATCGGACGATTAAAACTTCATTGAGAAAGAGATTGTTGGAGTGGGGGAAGGGATGGCACTCTGCTATCCCAACCATTCTTTTAAGTATGAGAGCCAGCCCGAACAAAACTACTCAGATCAGTCCCTTTGAGATAATGACAGGTCGCTACATGCGACTGCCCTGGGACGCTCCTCTGCAACATGAGGGACCGTCAGGGCCTTTGAAAGATGCTCTGCAAAATTATCTGAAGGCTTTGGATAACTGTTTAAAAGACACCAGGGTTAGTGTCAGTATCCGACAAGCAGAGAAAGATAACACTGAGCAAAAAGACATGCCTGCGTTGCCTGAGATAGGTGACAGTGTAATGTTGCAAAGGGAGATAATCTCTCCTCTGGGTCCGAAATTTGATGGACCTTACCAAGTTCTGTTGACTACTAATACATCTGTTTTACTCGACAGAGGTGTGTTGGGTACAGTATGGAGACATTGGTCACAGGTGAAACCACTTGAGAGGTGTTGCAACCAGAATACCACCACATAATAACATGATAAATCGTACCTCTTCAATATCTGTCGTATATGATTTTTCTAAATTCTGGCATTACTGTTTTATCATTTACAGATGGCTGAGCCAGACGACTTATTGAAGCTGCTAATTCTGCAAGAAGAAGTGCGTAATGAGAAGCGACGGAAAATGAGACGGGCTTTTGTTAGATTAGTACTCCCGCTCTCTTTTGTATGTTTAATCCTAATCGCTTTGTCATTTCTACTGTGGATACAGATTTCCATTTGGACCGGTCGATTCCATGCTTTTGCGACTAATTGGGATTGTGAAGAAACTGACAACCGTCCATCCTGGGTACAATACCCATGCCTAAATTCAACTGAGGGTCTAAATTTGATTTCGACTATGTATCAGAAGGTAAACGATAGATGCTATCGGTTGGACGGAAATGAGTCAGTGACCTATTGGCTTGGTCACTCCCCAAATTATCCCGGTAATACCCTCATTATGCAAAAAGGTCGTTGGGTGAGAGATGGAGGTGTTTATGTTTATGAACCGCATTTTAGCTCCATGAGTTGGATTCCAGACAGCATAGCCCATGAAAACCACACTGCCTGCTCCAAACGGATGAATATGGCTAATAGTTATCTGTTGAAACCCATGAAGAATGAGAATAGAGCAGGGCGGAAGAAGCGTCAGACCGTAGCATTAGGGGATTCCCACATGATTTTAGGAGGGAAACCAGTGAAACTTCCCCTTTATCCTAGTGCACCTGACCCTCGACACATAATGTCATATTACCTGCCCAAAGCTAAAGCTGAATTAGGTTCTAATCAGGTTGTCAAAGATGTGGTCCAAAGTTACATACATAGCAACATTGTTGTGAGAGAAGAACCAGGTTCAGACTTGTATCAACAGATCCTGAAGGATAAGGATTCGATGAGATGGAAAGTGTTAGTTCCCACGAGGGTTCACATGGTCCGATGGGACGTAGACAGGTCTTATGGTGCTGTTTGTGATCGATTCGGACGAATCGATAAGACTGATAAAAAGAATTTCGACCTTAATGGCAGTAAAAATGGTTTGCCTTTTGTCAATGCTTTTTCTCTCTCTTGGCCCAAGTATACTAGGTTTGATGATCCGTGGAAGGAGACAGTACAGGTGGAACGTTGTTTAGGTGAAAACATTCAACAATGGTTTGTTAAAACCTTTCCTCCAGGTGATGTTAAGAAATGTAAAACGATGTCGGAAAAACTCACAGGTGTAAAGGTGATGGAAGTGCCTATGGAAGTATGTAATTCCTCTTTTGTTAAGACAGGATACACTTGGACTAGTTTGTATGACGTGTTGCATCAGTACGAGCTCGTTAGGAGCTTTGCTAATAAAACGGCTCTTAAAATGGATCAATTGCATGATTATTTAGAAGGGAAATGTTACAGCCCTACCTCCATGGCTTATAATGTGACTGCCTGGATGCACCTTCATGTGCTTAAATTGACGATTGAATTGATGTATACTAGAATAAAGACTCGTCTGGTACCAGTGAAATATGAGGAGTTATTGTGGGATAATTATCAACCATTCCAGGAAAGGATGTAGCCATAGGGGATGAGTGGTTTGATAGGGAAAAACAATTTCGGCAGTTTTTGGGTCCGATCCAGTTGCATGACGAGTATAACATTTCTCCCAAGAACTGTGCTAGACATAGGTGGACGCATCCCTTGGGTCCCACGTGGCGTCCAGTGGATCAGAGTCAAGATGGTAATGGAGCGGAGGGTTCCCTTTGTGTTACTGAATTGAAGCAAGAAACTGAATATTTTCCCCAGGTAAAGGCCCAGGAAGCTCAGCAGAAATACATTACAGCTTTCCTTGAGCAGGTAAAGACGACTGATCCATTTGCAGGTTATGAGTATTTGAATTCTGCCTGGTTTAAGTCCAAGGGAACTTCTCTTATGTCGGACTCTGAAGCACCATCTGCTATTGCGGTGGCTTTTGTTTTGGCTTTTTCGGTTGGTGCTATATTCACAGATATGGCAGAAACTGTAGAAGAATATGTGGAAGAAGCTTGGGATGATTTGGTGACAGCATCGGAAGATATAGTCATGGGATTTGTGCACTACGTGCTGTATGCTGTGGGAGCCCTTGTGGGGGTGATGTTCCTCTGTTTGTGTATTTGGTTGTGTGTTCGTTTTTGTTTCTCCTATCTGTGCAGGACTGCATGCAGAAATCTGAATCCTGCTGAGGAGGAAAAGAGACTGCTGATGCTCACGACCCACCTGAGGGACAAATTGGATCAAAACAACATTGAAGCCCTGATGTGAGTGGAAGGTGGGAGAGCCTCTTAACGGGGACTGGACTTTTTAGTATCCAGCATGTCCGTGACGAGGTGAAGAGACAAGTGTGACCCGTCAGGGAAGCATGCGTCACCACTCCCCCTCTCCGTAGTGGCCTCACTTGATAGACCAGACGTGGCGGTATTGGACCACACATCGGTCTAAAACGGGGGACTGAAGGGTTGGGGTCAGAATCCCTTGCCTCTTCAATTTAACTATATGTATATCCTTTTTTATGATTACATTATTACTATAATAAGCACTAATCAAGTTATATAATCATTCCTATACGCAATAAATGATTCACATATAGTTTTTATTCATACTTCTGTTGAATGCACCTCTTTCCTGAATGTTGGGTGAAGGCCTATCTTTCATGAATGTCTTATGATGTCTGGGACTAATCTTCTGTGGCCCTGAGCAAGAACATTAAATACAGGCTTTTTGTCCGTATGTATACTAATGAGTGTGTTAAACTTAAAGAAAACCCTCATCATATGATCATGTTTCTCTGCTGACCCTATTAATGGGCAGGGGTCAATTTCTGTATGATTCTATGATTTGTTTTACTTCTTTCATACATATATTTCTCAAGAAGTAAAGTAATTGTTATTTCTTCTCTCTGAGGATGGAAGGTTTTATCAGTATGTTGCAGGTCTCATGACATGGGGTGGCTGGTCTCATGACGCTTTTCGATGGGCCCTCCGAGGTCATTACTGGATCTTCGTGACTTGGATGACAGCTATCTTGATTGATGTCAACGTACCCTTCTATCTATGTGTAATTGTTTAGGCTTTATGTCTTCTGAGCCAATCAGAAGTGAATGTTTATGTAATGTATGCCCTTGAAAACAGTATAACTGGTGTACGATTTTCATGTAAGGTAGAGTTAGCTTGCGACCTCCTCGTGAGACTTTGACGCTGACTCTGCCAATTAAACTGCAAACTATTCTTCAGTAAATTTTACTCTTTGATTGAACCTCACGACTCCTGGTCTTCTTTCATCATCTCTGGTCCTGGGTCTGATACTGTTACCCCCCCTAACACCCCTAATGCCAGCACTCAGCGTGAGAACCATGATGGTGCAGCGGCTAAACACACGTCAGTTGAGAAAGAGTCTGCGATAAAGGCTTGGGTTCAAATCCCACTTCGGCAGCTTGGCTTTAACTGGTTTATTGTAAAATCCCAGCTCACATACAGGTGAATAGTGAAATATAAGTTCCTTCACATGTCCAGACAAGAGATCTGTGGCTCACAGGTAAGAGCGCTGCCTCACGGTTTCAGAGGTTGCTGGTTCGACTCCAGCCAGATCTCTGCGATATGAATGAATGCTGTGGTGTGAGTGAGAAGGTGTGGGGGATCATGGGGTCCCCCCCTGAGCTCCCGCACGATGTCCAGCAGCGGTTATGCTTTTAACTGAAAAAAATTAAAAAGGCTATGAAAAAAAATGTCATTCACCGTCCCTTCCCCACCTACTTAGGTTACCATCATTTGCTTTTCAAAGGAGTGACCCTTCAAAAAGAAAATGATGGTAACCTACACATTTACACGCCAACAACACACACTGACATGTTAGAAGCATTAGCCTACCTGTGTCTGAGCAGATGTCCATCAAACTGTGAATGTCTGTCCACACGTCACTGGGTGTAACGGTCCAAACACATCTCTTATTCTGTGGGGCAAACACATAATCAACAAAGAGCTCGCTCTATATTGTAAATATAAACGTTACATGTTATAACTGCACAAACAATCTTAATTTACACATTTATGCCCCCCCCCCCCAAAAAAAAATCAACACCCTTTCAGTGTATGCCATTTGAACAGCTTTTATTAAATTATGAATACTAATATAAATTGTATAGACAGAGCTTTGTATTGACTACTTGGAATGGCTGTGAGTCTTTCATCTTACCGGTTTGTCTGAAAAACCAAAGCCCAGAAAGTCGAGGGGCAACGACTCTGTTAAAGTGTTGAGTCAGAGAATGCCAGATCTACAAAACAAAAGATAAAGATTCAAAAGACTTCATGACCAAATGCTGTGGAATGAAAACCTGAACTGTGTAAATTAGCAAGAACATCAGAGCTTCACAGAACACCAACTAACTCTATTATTAAACATGAATCCAGCAGACTATTAACTACACAGTGACACCACCACAACACCAGCTATACTGCTAATTGTTCTACTTTATAAGCCTTATAGGAATCACCTCCTTAGATTCACATGATAAAGATCATGCAACAGCAGGGTTAAAGTTAGACTTTTAAACAGAGAATGAGTGTCTGTCTGACACAGAAAGAGCAGCATCATCAAAATAATCCAGCAAACACATTAAACCAGTGCTCTGACACATAGGAGAATGATGCATCAACACAAACTTAAATCAAATTCAAATGATGATTGCTAAATAATGTGTGGTAGTGACATTACAAGAGAAAAGCACTTCATGTGGAAAGAGACTTACAGGTGAGTCGCGTGACATTCTTGATTCCTACACTTTATAACAGTGTGTGTCGGTTGTTTTTGCAGATGGGCTGAAAAATGTGTTGTTAAGTGACATTACGAGTCTGTCACTGAGCTGTCATCTGCAGGGTTTGTACTTTAATGGCCTTAAAACTACCAGAACGTGTTGTGGCGACTGTCATCAGGTGTCATGTTGTTGTTGACAGGAATCCAAAGGTGTCATGCTGAACCTGAAGCGCGCTTACGCCGCCTAGAGGAGCGGATGGCAAACTGCACAGTTTCTACCAGACGAATCGTGTAATAATTACCACCAACAGACCGAAAATTACTTCAGGTTGGGTCATTGACTTTAGTTCGTATGCGTCCAGCTTACTTAAAAAATGTCATACTCAAAAAATCCTATTTATTACGTTAAATAATACAAGACAGCTGATCAACAGCTCCCTCCTGTGGCCAATAAGTGCATCAACAGCGTTAATAGATGAAAGGCCAAACTCAAACTGGCCGTCTTTGGTGAGACGACAGAAATGTTTAATTTTTTACATATTTTAAAGTAAATCCGTGATTTTGTCAGGATCTGGACCAGCAGATAAAGTTGGAATCTACTAGTTAATTGACTCAGATCAGCTCGACTGAAGGGTAAGAGACAGATCAAACGTCTGATGTGTTGAACTGACAGTCACATATGGCCGAAACACAAATAAAGGAACAAAAGACATTACTAGACTTCTTGAATGGTTTGTTTATGAGTAAAGAAGCTTTTTGAATCTTTGGACTTAACGTGATCTTTGTCTTTTTGTTCACAATTAAACAATGATTTCGAGTCGTTGTTGTGTTGGTATTTGCAGATATACAGCTCCTCCTTGTGGACATGAAGTATATCTGCATTAATAATTGATGACACCAGCAGGATTAAAGAGACGGAAGGAATTTTGAGGAGTGAAAGGAAGGGGAGCGCCTGGATAGTGAGCCGTAACTCTAATTATTACACCAAGCAAACTAATACTTGTATTATTAAAACCCATTATAAACATAACAAGTTTAGACGAATCACCATATCCGTGTACATTGGAGCAAGTTAAACAGAAATGATGTAGTACATTTCTAAGTATATATATTTATAATCCCACTCTTGCTGTGAATGAGTTGATAAAGCTGAGATACACATGAAGCCTGTGGGATACTTCAGCTGAGGAAAGTGAAACATGCTGGTCAAAATAGTGTCAATGCAACGAGAACAGCCCAAACATGTGCAATGATGACACTGTATATTTCCATTAAAGTGTAATTTATTAAATGCAATTTACAAATAATTAAATACTATTAAATATGAAGTATATGTACAAACAGTATAATTGTATAAATTTGTAGTATGTGGTTTTAGGAGGTTTTTGACTAATCAGGCCAATGAAAGACAGTTAGCTCTATCAGTCTCAATTTTTCCATTATACACACTTGTGTTTGTCATTAAACTTAACCTGAATATAAAACTGACCCAATCAGTAGAAACCATGTATTAAACAATTGTTCATGGGTTCACCAGATGGTCAAAAAAAACCCTAGTGGCGAACCATCAAAATGTCCAAATGTTTCGAAACAGTATGATGTGAAGAAACCTCGTTCCCTGAAATCACATGACATGTCCAGTTTGATGCTAGCTTTGAAAAGCTGGTTCAAAACAAAAGAAAATAAATGCATAAAAGACCCTAAAACACACTAATACATAAACACATATTGTATGGCTCAGTGGATAAACATCTCTTTCCCACTTGCAAGCTTGGGTTCAAATCCCACAATTGCCAAGAGTTTTTAATCATATAAAACAGATCTCTCAATAAAACACCCCAAATGCCAGCACTCAGTGTGAGATCCATGATGGTGCAGTGGCTAAACACATCAGCTGTGGGTGAGGCTGTGATAAAGGTTTGGGTTCAAATCCCACTATTGATTATATTAAATTGCATTAGATCCAACAAACCTTCCTAATATTCAACAAAACACCCCAAAATGCCAGCACTCAGTGTGAAAGCCATGATGGTGCAGCGGCTAAACACACGTCAGTTGAGAAAGAGGCTGCGATAAAGGCTTGGGTTCAAATCCCACTTGGGCAGCTTGGCTTTAACTGGTTTATTGTAAAATCCCAGCTCACATACAGGTGAATAGTGAAATATAAGTTCCTTCACATGTCCAGACAAGAGATCTGTGGCTCACAGGTAAGAGCGCTGCCTCACGGTTTCAGAGGTTGCTGGTTCGACTCCAGCCAGATCTCTGCGATATGAATGAATGCAGTGGTGTGAGTGAGAAGGTGTGGGGGATCATGGGGTCCCCCCCTGAGCTCCCGCACGATGTCCAGCAGCGGTTATGCTTTTAACTGAAATTTTTTTTAAAAAAGGCTATAAAAAATTTCATTCACCGTCCCTTCCCCACCTACTTCGGTTACCATCATTTGCTTTTCAAAGGAGTGACCCTTCAAAAAGAAAATGATGGTCACCACTACACATTTACACGCCAACAACACACACTGACATGTTAGAAGCATTAGCCTACCTGTGTCTGAGCAGATGTCCATCAAACTGTGAATGTCACTCTGTCCACACGTCACTGGGTGTAACGGTCCAAACACATCTCTTATTCTGTGGGGCAAACACATAATCAGCAAAGAGGTTACTCCATACTGATATTAATTAACAAAGACGTCGCTCTATATTGTATCATAACATTTTATAATACCACAAACAATCTTCATTTACACATGTATTGCCCCAAAAGACATGAAGATATTGCACCATTTGTATACCTAAAATAATTTAAAAGTTAGTCTAAATAATGTTTAATAAATGTAAATTGACTACAAAACTTGAAATATTAAAGCTGTGCAGTGTCAAATTACAGATTATATTAAACCTCAGTAATACTGTAATAATTCAGTATACTCTTCATCCTAGTTTAGTTCTGATGATGCTATTAAAATACTTTAATACATTATGCTACAACACTATAACAGGATACTGGACAAAACAAATTCAGTTCAATATTTACACTATTTAACCTGTAATGTTAAGATCAGGTTTTAAGTCACCATAAACAGCATTAATTATAAAAAGAAAAGTTTCATTCAGGTTTTTTATCATTAAAGTGAACATCAGATCAACGCAACAACTAAAATACCGATTCATTAGTTTTTCTAAAATGAAGAGTCTGCATGAAACCTGTCATTAAATTTAAAGACCCCATCAAAAGTTTGTGGCTTTCAGTTTACGATGCCTTGAAGTGTCCACGAATAAACATAATGCAACAGCAATGCTATATTATTAGAGTTACTTACAGGTGAGTCGCGTGACACTCGATTCTTTCACTTTATCGCAGTGTTCATCAGTTTTATTAGTTTATGGGCTCGAATATGCGCTGTTCAGTGATATAAATGCTGTCACAGAGCTGTCATCTGCTAGCCTGGTTCTACCAGACTCTCGTACATTTCATTTGTACAGAGAGTCTGGCCTCGCTCCATTGAGAAACGTTTACTTCCTTGTAGGCGGGTTCTCTGTTAAAGTTCAAAACTATTGGATCTGCCCAGCGTCACTCAGGATCTGCCATAGCCAATCGCTAACGTGTGGTCGTGACGTATGTCATGCGCCGAAACCGGCTGGAAAGAACAAGTCCGAATTCCATATTCATAAATCTAAATATCTAAATGCTAAACCTCTCTTTCTTATATTTGTGAAAGAATTTTAAAAATACCTCTTTTCAATTAAGTTGTCTGAGAACAAAAAAAGCCTTAAAAACATTATCTGTTTGTAATTATTTTCCTTTTTTCAGTGTCATGTAATTCTCTTAACTTGTTCATGTTTATTTTATATTATCCCCCTACTGTTTTATTTTTGTTTTGTTTTTATTATTATTTTTTGTTTGTTTTTGTATTATGTTTTCTGTTATTACTTGTGTATTGTTTTAAGCAATAAAAAAAAACAAGTCCGAATGATCAGAGGATTATGTTTAGAATAAGATGTCTGTCAACGAGAGCTGCATGTTTTGTTCATCGAATTTAAGAGTTCAAGGAACAATTCTAAATTCTAAATGTATATTTGACACTAATGACAGTGATGTATTCAATCAACTGTCGAAGCTGGGTGTAATCATTAACAATACGCCGCTGCGGTCGTTTCGGATCTGCCGCAAATGCTGTAACGTTACAGTGATCATCGTGCACGCCGAGCTGCCCAGCACCAACTCCTAACCTTTCTGCCTCCCTCACTTGGTCCTCCATTAGTGCAACAAGAAGAGACGACAACAACTATCGGCTTTGCATCCTATCGTTCGCCTTAGCTAACTCATTCACCACTAGCGGAGTGAGCTGGAAAATTAAACTTTTCCCGAATCATGGCCACCAACAACACTTAGCAAACATTGATCTTGCTCGGGCTTTAACTTCTGGATATTCGGCAGTTTTGCAACAACGGACCGAATAGATTTTCTCACGTCTTTCTCCGCTGCCATTACTGAACTCCAACTCAAACTGACGCGCTACATCAACGTCATCGTTCTCAGCCACTCCCTCTGTTCGCTGATTGGACCGGTAAAAAAATTATTTCTGGAAACCAAAGTCTACAGCACAATCCCAGACGTAGTACTGAAGGAAAATAAAATTGAGCGGAAGTGCGTAGGAGGGCGGAGCCAGGCTAGTCATCTGCAGGATATGTACTCAAAACAGTTTGCACGTGTTGTTGCAACAAGCGACGTGTTGTCAATGTTGTCAAGAATCCTGTCAGACTTAACCTGAAGCCCGCTTACGTCACCTAGTGGAGAGGATGGAAAACTGCACAGTTTCCGCCAAGCTAACCAGTGTTTGGGAAAGTTACTTTTAAATGTGTTTACTTTTTAGTTACTTTTTAGTTTACTTTTTAGTAACGCAATATTCTAATTGCGTTACTTAGTTTTATGGAAAGTAATGAGTCACGTTACTTTTTCTCTCCTGGACTGTGCTTGCTTATCCCTCTGGGGTCCTTCGGCCCAAATGGACCCGAAGCATTTAAATATATATTTTTTTTAAATCATTGCTTTATCGGAATGGTCCGAAATTTGGTGACTTTGTTGGTACTTGGCATATGAACACCCCAAGAAATTGGGGACAGGATTTGAATAGTCTAAGTGGTTGTAAAAAAAATAGTCACACTCAGGACCTTCGGGTCCAAATGGACCCGCATAGGAAATGAATGGGAAATTGGCAAAAATGTGAAAATACAGAGTTATTTTGTGCGTACAAACTACAAATCAGCCACGATCCAGAAAAAAAGCACACAACAGTGAAGGGGTGAATCTATAAAACATCAAGAGTGCAAAACAGATACATCCGCGCACACACACACACACACAAACACACTTTTATACACATACACACTAATAAATTCAGATTACATATGGGTTTTGAATTTTTAAAATGCTCAGTTTGTCCACCAGATGGCATCCATCTCATTTCAAAAATTGCTTTCATGAGGCCTAGGCTTGACTCTAAAATGAAATACAGCTTTAAAAAAAATAAAAAATATTTTTTTTTTTTTTTTTTTAAATTTCTATTATATTCAATGGGGAAAAAATGGGTCATAATTATTGCATTAATATTAATTATAAATCATTTTTATTTTTGAAATTATCTCAAAACACCAAAAAAGAAAAGAAAAAATATTATAAAAAACAAGTAAAAAAAAAAAAAAGATGATTTTTTTTTAATAAATATTAATCCCACCCTTCCGGCCCATTTGGACCCGAAGGTCCTGAGTGTGACTCTGAAATGAAGGACCCCAGAGGGTTATAACATGAAAATAAGAGTTTTATTTTTGACAAACATAAAGGCCTTTTCACACAAAAAGTGAAATGAATAAGCCTCAAACTGAAGATTCAAGCCGCTTTTATTATAAACTAAATGAATTGTCATCATTTACTCATCCTTATGTTGTTCCAAACCTATAAGTCTTTCTTTCTTCTGTTGAACACAAAAGAAGATATTTTAAAGAATGTTGGTTATCAAACAGTTGACGGTAGCCATTGGCTTGAACCATAGTAGGAAAAAAATAGCCAACTATGGAAGTCAATGGCTACCGTCAATTGCCTGGTTACCAAATTGCCTAAATATAGGCAAATTAATGAAAAAACAAAACAAAAAAACAAATCATCATAAAACACTTGGTTTTGAAATTGGGTGGGTTATTCTGGTGTTTCATCTTTGTCAAAAAAATACCCTAAATTAGTTAGTATCTCTGATATTTTTTAAAAAAAACTCTGATATTGTAAGGATCTTAACCAGCAGATAAACTTAGAATCTACGAGTTAATTGACTCATATCAGCTCTCATCTGGGGTAAGACAGATTAAAATGTCCAATGTGTTGAACTGAAATTCATACAATAGAAAAACTAATAAAATATGGATTTTAATTTCTTTTAATTTAAAGTGATCTTTATGTAGTTCACAATTAAACAGTGGTTTTATGTTGTTGTGTTTGTAATAAAGCTTATAGACCTTAGTCAGGGTTGCAACATGTTTATACTTTTTGACAGAATATAATGCTGTGAGGGATACACGCGTGTTCAATGGATTGCACTGTAGCTAAACAACATGCCAATGTTCTTTCCAAAACCATTTTAGTAGACAAACAATGTTTGAGTTTTAAAAATTATATGTAATCTAGGACCTTTAAAGAGTGCATGCAATAATAAAGAGTTACATTCAATATGACGTCTACCCTGACTAAGGTCAATTTAATTACATATTTTCTATCTATAGGCTGGTGGTGCGTTTGACATGATATTTGTGTAGACGTCTATGTTTTAGCCAATAAGCGATTGATGAGCCAAAACATAATGACCACCAGCTGCCTAATATGCTGTTGGTCCTCTGAATGCTGCCAAAACAATGCTGACCCACCGAGGCATGGACTCTACAAGACCCCTGAAGGTGTTGCCATGGATTGAACTTGTTGGTTCAGCACATCCCACTGGGGAATTTGGAACCCGGGTGCAATACATTTATGTCCACATGAATGGCCGGACTCAGGGCTTGCCAGCAGAACATCGCCCAGAGCATGTGTGTGTGTGTGTGTGTGTTTGTGTGTACGGTGATTCAGCTTATGCCTCTTTAATCCTGTCAAGTACTGTGTATGGTTAAAAATAAAAATGAATATTTGGCATAATCTGAGGACCATTTTTTCCATACTCAGCACACATTAGATGTGATAATTAGAGGCCTGCAGGTTTAAAAAAAAAAATACTAGGACAATTAGATAACAGTGTGCGATTAGTGTTCTCATTGATACTGTAGATCGATATAATGTCCACAAGGGAGAACTGTTAAATGTGCCCATTCCTGTTGAAGTTACCATTATGCAGACCATGACACAATTTAAATGTTTTCTATCAGCAATCAGTTCTAGATTAAGCTAGAATATATGAATAGTATATATATCTGTCTTACCCCATCAGTTAAGAACTGATCTGACAGTGAGACAATTACCTGGTAGATTCCATGTTGATCTCTTGGTCAAGAACCGATTAATATCATAGTTTATATTAATATCATAGTATATAGCTATATATATATATATATATATATATATATATATATATATATATATATATAGCTATATAGATTTAATATTATTATTTAATATTATTATTACTGTGATACACTTATCGACCAAAGGAGGGAGCTAGTGATCACTTATTTTTGTCCAACATTTAATTTAAAAGGAATTTTCGTTTGAGTAACCGTTTGCCATCCGCTCCACGAGGGGCGTAAGCGAGCTCTACTTTCAGCCTGAGACCTTTGGATCCTTGGCAACATGACGCTTGATAACAGTCGCGACAGACCGTTTTAAGGCCATGCAAGTACGGATTCCGCAGATGACAGCTCAGTGACAGACTCTTAATGTCACTCAACAGCACATATTTCAGCCCACCTGCAAAAACAGCCGACACACACTGCGATAAAGTGCAGGGATCGAGAATGTCACAAGACTCACCTGTAAGTAACTAGCACGAATTATTGGGCAGTTCTTATTTAGCTTAAAGTTTGAATTGAATCGTCAAATAAAGGCTGCATTGTCAGTTCATTTAAATCCGTATTGTGACGCTGCTTTGACGCGCTCCCCTATGTCTGTCTATCTGCCTCTACTTCTAATACAAGGTCCAAGGAATCTTAATACAAAGACAACTGCAATATACATCACAAAATAAAGTACAGTAAAATAAAAACGTACCCTGTCTCTCTGCAGCAGAACGAAAGTGAGTGCGGGCCGGGCCGTCGCGTGAGCAGGGAGTGGTGGCTTCACGTGAGTCTGTTGTGCATTCCTCTGCTCGCGGTGTATCTGCACATCCCTCCTCCACAGCTCTCACCTGCGCTCAACACCTGGCGCGCTTCCGGACACTTCTTCACATTCAGAGGAAATAACATCTTTTACAAAGGTTACACAAGCTTTGTTTACACGCTATACATATACACGAGATATACTCTGTTGATGTTGTAGTCTTATTGTAATTGTATTCTGTTTGTTAATAGAGTCAGTTGGTGTTGTGGGAAGCTCTGATGTCCTCCTGCTGCTTCATGGTTTTCCTACTTCTAGCTATGACTGGTATAAGGTATAAGCACAGAGCCATTTTAAAGTCATTTGCCAGTGTAAAACTGCATCAACGTTTCAGAAAAGCTACTGTAAACTCAATTTAATGCAACTTGGAAGCAATTCACTAACAGTGACTTGATACTTTGCTTCTGCTTTGCACTTGGTGTTCATTGTGCAGCATTTGCTCTTGATGTTTCTTGAATCTCGTTGTCGTTTTGTAGATCTGGGATTCTCTCACTCAACGCTTTAATAGAGTCGTCGCCCTCGACTTCCTGGGCTTTGGTTTTTCGGACAAACCGGTGAGATGAAAGACATGCAGTCACTACAACTACGGTCTTTTATTATTCATAATTTGAATCATTATTTCTATCACACAAACGTCCCACCTCATGATGACACTCCAGCGACCACACCGTTACTCCATCTTCGAGCAGGCCAGTGTGGTGGAGGCCCTGATCGCTCATTTGGGGCTTTCAGAGCAGAGGATTAACCTCCTGTCACATGACTATGGAGACACTGTAGCTCTCGAGTTACTGTTCAGGTGAGCTGGAAGGATCCTTCAAGCTCTCTTGTCATAGTTCAGCTTAATGTTCCTGTCAATATGATCTGGCTGGTTCTCACATGCAGTTAAACACACAGGAGTGACCATAACAGGAGTGGACACGTCACCATAAACAGCCTCTGCCTCTCAAATGGAGGTACATTAAATTTGTATTCATTCTTCATGAAAATTATATATATATATATATATATATATTCTTTCAGATAACAAAAGTCGGATTAGAGATCCTTAACATTATGAAAAAACTGAAAATGTTTTCTTTTTTGTTTTCAATCTTTAAAGGTATATTCCCTGAGACTCATTATCCAAGATTCCTTCAGAAAGTGAGTGTGACACTTTAAAATACACATTTGTTTTCATTTGTGAACTGAGAGAAGTGCATTTTTCTAATCTTTTGTCATCTACAGGTGCTGAAGGACTCCGGCTTCATTTCACCTGTACTCACTCGCCTAGTAAACTACCAGCTTTTCTCTAGAGGGTGAGTGGAGCGTCTGGAAGGGGTGTGGTGTATAGCTTTATGCTTTCTAGTACACAGTTCAAACTATTTGTTGTACTTTACACAGTCATAAATCATTGTTTATAGGTTGTGGCCTAACACCTTCAACTGCTAATATTATATGTATTCACCCTACAGAATAAGGGATGTGTTTGGACCGTACACCCAGCCAACAGAAGCAGAGTTCTGGGACATGTGGACAGGCATTCGCTTTAACGATGGAAATCTAGTCATGGACAGGTGTCCAAGCTTTTCCATGTGTTGCATCTGCAGTGCTTTGCTTGTAATGACAACCGTCGCAAACAATCCTTTGTTGTGTCTCGCCCAGTGTCCTGCAGTACATTAACCAGAGGATGAAACACAGAGAGAGATGGGTGGGGGCTCTAACCTCGTCTTCAACACCATGTGAGTACACACACCATTCATTCAGTGGTATAAAGTGCTGGAGTAGCTGTCATGCTACCAGACTGAAGTGATTCACTGTGGGCAGTGCTATTGAGGCTAAGTAGTTTAATCCATTGAAAAGCACTGCAGAAGCTGCTTAGCCCGTCTGCACCCCAGGCAATATGCGTTTGAGGTGTCAGCATATATTAAGTGAACATTCACGTAGTTAAATGCAGTTAAAGCTGCAGTCCGTATCTTTTCCTCTTTGTCGCCATCTCTCTGTTCGAAATCTGTAACTGCAGTGATTCGCGGAATTATCATCTTTACGTGGGTTGTAAATCGGCATGAAACAGCGCGGATGAACACAGTGCTTTGAGGCGAGTGCTGCTGTCAGTCACCGCGCTGTGTGGATACTGTCATACAGAATCACAGATTCACTTTTTGAAAGTTTGACCAACATAAGAATTTTCATAAGAAAATACCTTCTGAACAAGTAAGTAAAATCCATTTTTGTTCTGACCAACTAAGGGGGAAAAAGCATTCGACATGATAAGCTTCGTTAGATTTAATCAACGCGATTTACAGCAACCGTGCAAATTATAGCCTACTTTGTTCTCAAATTGTTCATGTTAACAACATCAGCATTGCGTGACTAATGTTAAATTTAATGTGTTTTATGGTTAGCAGCTACCTGCGTAGTTCAGAATTCATATTCTCCATAATAGCAAAACGAGAAAGGCACAACAAAGGAAACTCCATAACTGTGTGAATTAAGAAAACGTACTGTTACACGATTGAACTATTGAAATGTCTTACTTGTTCAGCAGAAAAAGGCCGTCTCTTCTTCCGTTTTGAACCCCTTCAAAACACGGAGTTCACGCACTTTTCAAAAGCCCCGCCGATGTTTAAATCCTTGTGTTCGCATAAGACGGTTTCTTTCTCTTTCTCTAGCCACCTTAAATCCGAAGTACGAAGTCTTTTGGGTTTTATAACTGCTGAATCTCCAGTTGACACTGATGATTGTTGTTTGGATCTTTCTGGATGCCATAAGTTTAATTATGTAAAGTGCTGCGAGAAAAGCCTATACATCTAAACATCTCGTCACGCGCAGTATAGCCGGCTAGCCGAAACTCCTTCTTTATGTGTACGGGTGTGACGTCATGACGCAAAGACATGCTCGAATTTCCCGCGGAAACCCACCAGTACCACTGGAATTAAAATCATTATAACAAGCTAACCGTTTTGAATCTAGCTATGGCAAGCAGATAGTTTTGACCACTGGCAGAATAAGTTTTTTTTTAATATAATTATTTTGGATTATTTTTAACTTAAAAAAGTTACGGACTGGAGCTTTAAATGTGTAATATTACAATATATTATACATGCAATGTAGCAGGATAAGCATTTTAACACTCATACTATAGGATGGGAGAGTTGGTTCTTATTTCTATTAAGAGTTAGAAATAGTTTTGTGCTTTGGAAGATTAGTTGATAAATCACTTCAGGCTGTTTAATGTGGCCGTACAAAATTATGAACGTGTTTCTTTGTAAATATCGCTGATTTATAAAAAATTTACTTTGTAGTGCACATGATTTATGGACCCCTAGATCCAGTTAATCCACATCCCCAGTTTATCCTGCTCTACCAGTGAGTATATATGTCAGTTTATATTTATTATCTCTATTTAAACTAACTAAATTATGATTTGTATAATTACTAAATGAGAAATATGTCTAGACTTTTTTTTTTAACATGCATAGGTTTTTTTTCTCCCTTAACTTTTGTGAAAAACATGGTTAGAGCTCATGGCACAAAAACTTTTCCCAATGAGTCCTTGGTTCAAATCCAGGGTGGTGAATGGACCAGAATTCACCACTTGGATGAAAGGTCCGAATTTCATTTGGATGAAAACTATTTTTAAAACATTTGCTGTACCTCATTGAGGTGGGATTTGAACCCAAGCCTCTATCACAGCCTTAACTGCAACTAATGTGTGTTTTGCCATTGAGCCATCATGTCTTTCACAATGATTGTGGCATTTTGGGTGGGGGGTTGTTGTATATAATGAATTATATTATTTTAATGTAAGTAACTGTGGGATTTGAACTCAGGACTCCAAGATTAAAACAGAACCTGAGCCACTGAATCTGAATCTGTTTTATAGCCTTAAAAAAATGTGGGATTTAAACTCAGGATTCTGGGTATAAAAACACAGAGCTTTATCTTTTGAACCACTGAGATTGGACTAATTATTGTCCGTTTTGAAAAAAGAAATTATGGGATTCAAACCAAGACTTTCATGTACAAAAGAATAAATATTTTTAGCACTTGTAATTGTGAAAGAACATTTTCTTCTTTATATAATTTCAAAATATGACATTCAAAAGGTTACTAATGCATTTGCTCTCGACTGAACCTTAATCCTTTAAGTTGAAAGCACATTAATTACCTACCACACCAGTGTCTCCCAACCAACAGTACACATTTTCTATGTCCCCCTTTACCTGATCCATCCATTTCAGGTCTTGGAATATCTACTAACTAGCTGATGAGTTGAATCAGGTGTGTATAATTAGGAAGTTTAAAATGTGTACTGTTGGTGTGCCTCCGGAAACACTATTGGTGAATGTAGAGGGTTAGTTCTTTATTATTGGTAAAGACTTCAAGTGGGAACTTAGCATATAAGCCAAGATAAAACTGCTATGCTGTGACAAACAGAAAAGACAGATCAAGCTGTCTCTTTAGAAAAGTGGGCACTATAACATAGAAATGTTTTATAATCACTTTTACCCTCTCTATTCCTCATCTACAGGAAACTAGTTCAAAGATCCACAGTATCGGTTCTAGATGAGCATGTGAGTCATTATCCACAGCTGGAGGATCCCACAGGCTTCATTAATGCCTACCTTAGCTTTATCAACTCATTCTGAGCAAGAGAGTGATGTGATCATTCTGAAATGAGTGGAATATTGCTCCTATGAAGATGTTGTTAGAAAATATTCCAACACATTTATTAACAAACCGTAAAGTATGCCAGTCACGTTTCTAAATGCATGAAACAAAGTATTGCACCAAATAATCTTTACAATTGTCAATAAGAGTTTGCTGAAATACAATATGCCATTACTTGTAAATACATTTGTGTTCAAAGCATAAATGATTTTATTCAAATAAAAAAGTCTTTGTATGAATTGTCATGTTTTGTGTAGGAAAAAAACAAGTCTTGTACTCTTCCATACTTTTTATTATTGATAAATGATAGGTTTGTTTTAAAGGACAATTTCCCCTGAGCCATGACACAAGGTCAAAACAGCTCAAATACCAGAGAAACAACAATGATTAGATCTCTTCCACATTAATTTAAGTGGCACAATATTTTTGAAATCTCAGAACAGATCAAATTCAGGAACAGGATGTTATAGAGGATTCATGTTAAGCCACAAAGATGGTTGTGTGAAACACAGAGCTACTATATAGATGCATATAAAAGGACATTGACCCAGATTGATTGGCATGTGACCAGGTCACTCACATCGCTCGTTTATCCGACAGACGCCAGGATGACGTCGACCACACTCTCGTCTGTGCTCCTTACAGTCACCTGCATAGTGACCCCATCAGCCAGCGCCAGACGTGCCCTCACCAACACGTCATGACCTCCCCTAAACACACCTTCAGAAACACGATCATTAATCATCAGTCAGGTTAGAAATAGAGAAAATTAATATCTTATACACATTTCAAGACCTGAAACTCACAGAACTAAAAAAACTGGATTGATGAAATCAGTACAAACCTGCTAAGACCAGAACATGGGAGTTCTTGTTTTCAGGAACTTTGTCTGAGCGTTCACAAGGCTGCATGCCCAAGAAGCTGATGATGTTATTTACCGCCTCTGTGACGATAAATACAAATCAAGAGAGGATTATTTCTACAGCCACAAAACTCTTATCAAACATACATTTATTTTACATTCTTATACATGGTCATTAGGATATTAAAGTGGATTTTAATCAAACTGACCATCTAGAGTTCTGACTGTGGCCAAAGCAAACGTCTCTTCCTTCTCAAACTCGTCTCCGATCTCCTCCCACGCTGCGCCGAAGTTCGGCTTTAACACCTTCTGTATGTGGTCAGCGACTGTTACCTCTAAATCTTCCAGCTAGGATGAAAATGCGAGATTGAGTGAGGAATGATCGCTGATAATCTGCCTGGTTTTTTTTTATACCATGAATTGATTTTGAAAATTCACATACCACATATTCATCATCATAACCGTCATCATCAGGCTCTCCCGTGTTGGGATCACAATCCCGGACTAGATATTTCATTGTACAGCTGAACGTGCAAGAGACTAAGACAAATGCAAACAATTAAAAACATGTCAAATTTCGTAAGTACTTTAAATACATCTAAGCAAGCAGTTTAGTCTGTAATGAACCATTCACACAGAATGCGTTTAAAAATGTGAGACGAGGGGTAGCAAAATGAAAAAAAGAGCTAAGTGTAGAAAGGTTGAACTTCTTTCAACTTGAGCACTACAGTTTTAGAATGCTGTTTTCATGTGCAAGCCGCTGAAAAAGATGTGTGTTACATAGAAAAAACAACCGCAAAGTGGAAAGCAAAAATACATTCTGTGTGACATACCTGCTGTGGGGTCATCCTCCGGTAACCGGACCAGACTGTAGCAGGAGCCAGGCTGGCTGTAGGGGAGGTTAGGTGCAGGTACGTAATGTAGTACCTCGTAAGCCTCTGACGGCTCCATCTGGACCATAACCCGCTGCAGCAGCTGGTCGTTCAGCGTGTTGGTGCAGTCGAACTGGAATATCATGTGATTTGCAAAAGTGTGTTTGATGCAGCGCACTACATATTCCGTCTCTGCTTCTGTTAACTGAACCGGCTCTGATGACTTGAACAGGGGACCCAGGCCCTTGAATTCTGGGATGGCTGCAAGTTGATCTGAGAGAAAATAAATAAGGGAGGAAAAATGTGGCACAGTTTGCTTCAAACTCTAGTTTAACGGTGCCGCTCACATTGCTTTGCTGATTAGCTAATCGTCTTACCTTGGTAAATGTCTTGGCGTGAAGGTGCAAGCTTTTCAGGTAGTTTGCTTGTTGCAACGGGTGCGATTTCTGGCATGAAGGAGAAAAATAAAGTGAACTTGTGCAATTTGAGAAAGCTTTGCAATTTAGCCGAAAAAAGGTTAAAGACATAGGAAGATTAGCATCCAAATCAGATGCCAAACAATGGTATACAGTAAACTATTTTTTTTTTCTTTATGAGCATACGTAATTATGGATTATATTGAGTAATAGTCCAGTTATTGGACTCTGGTTCATAAGTAGTGTTGAAATCTATTCACACCTGTTTTCTGTTCGGTGATCGGTGCGGTAGCCAAGGGAACGGTCTTCATGTCAAATGGTTTCTCAGAGGGCTCTAGTGTGTACTGGTGGAGGGATTTCTCCAGTCCAGGAACAGATACGGACAGACCTGCGAACAAACGGTTCAACGACCATTATTCAACCATGACAACTTTAATGCAGAATAAATAAAATTCACACCACAACCACAAACGTTTATCACTCATATTCAGCATATCAGATACACAATAAGAATCTTAACTATGCAGAACAATGGAAACCCACACAAAACTACCACTGCAACACAAACCCTCACCATTGAAGATGTATGCGGCATTCAAGGCCTTCTGCTTCTGCTGAAGGACATTCATGTAGAATGTGGCTCTGTCTCTCACCTCATCATCACTGTCCATCATACACCTATCAGACACACACACACGCTTTAGCAAATTGCATATTAACGCATTTCGGTATGGATGGGCGATAAGCAACATTATGATAAAAATACTCTTATTTTAGTAGACAAACATATGGAAAAATGATTTTAAAAAAAATTATGAAAAGGTCAGCAATGGATAGTTCACCCAAAATGTTTAATTCTGTCATTAATTACATGTCATTCCAAACCAGCTACACAACTTACACTTTGACGCTTCAAAAAGAGATCTTAAAACTAATCCATATGAATTGAGTGGTTTAGTCCAATTTTTTTCTGAAGAGACACAATCACTATATATGATGAACAGATTTAATTTAGGCTTTTATTCACATTTAAACGTTCATCAACTCGCACATCAGTTGTGGTAAAAGGAAGCTCAAGCATGTTCACTTGACGTGCAAGAACCAATGGGGTTCATTCTCGTCTGTTACGCAGCTCGTTTGAGCTTCAGCAAGAGGTTTGTTCTCGCGAGTCAAGCAGGTTCGGTTGAGCTTCGGTTTATGTTCGCTGCTCAATGTTTATATGATCTCTTTATGAACTTTTCAGTTGCGTAGCTGTCAATGGAGGGACAGAAAGCTCTCGGATTTCATCAAAAAGATCTTAATCTGTGTTCCGAATATGAATGAAAGTCTTGCGGGTTTGAAACGACAAGAGGGTGAGTAATGAAATTTTGGGTGAAGTAACCCTTTAAAGACCCACTCCGATGAAAATAATGTTTTTCTAGGTGTTAACATGTTCTTGTGGCATTTTTCTTATGTTAGATGACATATCCCAAAAACCGGGTTGCCCATTTAAAACGATAACATATAAATGTAATATGCAGAAACCATGGTTTACTAAAGGAATTATAAAGTCCTGCAAGAAGAAAAATTTATTATACAGGAAATTTATACATTCAAGAACTCAAGATGCTGAAAGCAAATATAAAACATATAAGAATAAACTAGTTAATATAATTAGAAATAGTAAGAAAGATTATTACACAAAATTGTTGGCACAACATAGACAAAACATTCAGGGAACATGGAAGGTACTTAATGATTTAATACATAAAAAACACAGCAATACGGATAGTGTTAATTACTTTAATAAAGACAACTATACGATACGTTGCACAGAGGAAATAGTTAAAGAGTTTAATGATTATTTTGTAAATATAGGCAATAATTTAGCAAAGAAAATTGTACCCATTCCAAACAATGGAATGGAAATTGGGGTTACATATGAAAGTCCAAATTCATTATTTTTAAACCCAACTAATAAAGATGAAATATTGAAAATAGTGAAAGACTGCAAGAATAAAAAGTCAATTGATAATGATGGGTTTGATATGTTTATGGTTAAAAATATTATTGAAAATGTTATTTATCCATTTACATATATTTGCAATCAATCTTTTAAAACTGGTATATTCCCAACTCAAATGAAAATATCAAAAGTTCTCCCATTGTATAAAGGTGGCGACAAACATTTGTTTTGTAATTATCGACCTATTTCTCTGTTGTCACAATTTTCAAAAATATTAGAGAAATTATTTGTTAAAAGATTAGATAGCTATGTTGAAGTGAACAATATCATGAATGAATATCAGTTTGGTTTCAGAGCTCATAGGTCAACAACAATGGCAGTTGTTAAAATGGTAGAAAATATATCACAATCAGTAGATAAAAAATTACATACAATCGGAGTTTTTTTAGATTTACAGAAAGCTTTTGATACCATCGATCACAGAATATTATTATATAAACTGGAAAAATATGGATTTAGGGGAAATGTATATTCTTGGTTAGAAAATTATTTAACAGACCGTTTTCAATATGTTAATTTAAATGGAGTTGCATCATGCTTTGAGAGAATTAATTGTGGCGTTCCGCAAGGCTCCGTTTTGGGCCCTAAGTTATTTTTGTTATATATAAATGATATTTGTAAAGTGTCGGATATTTTTAATTTTATTCTTTTCGCGGATGATACAACAATTTATTGTTCTGGCCCAAATCTTACAGAGCTTGTGTCGGTGGTAGAGAAAGAATTATATAAATTTAAGAATTGGTTTGATTTGAATAAATTGTCACTAAATTTAAATAAAACGAAATTTATGGTATTTAGTAATAAAGAGATAAATAATGAGATCAGGATTACTATTAATGAAAATGAATTAGAAAGAGTAAATCATATAAAATTTCTTGGAGTAATTATTGATTGTAAAATGACATGGAAACCGCATATTTTAAACGTTCAGAAGAAAGTATCAAAAACGATTGCAATTTTGTATAAGTTGCAATGTATTTTGAACAAAAATGCATTACATTTACTTTATAGTTCACTTGTCACACCATACTTAACGTATGGTATTGAAATATGGGGAAATACATACAAAACTAGAACTAATCCA